GAGTGCCATGATGTGGTAACAGTTCACTGCAGCCTCAACTTCCTAGGCTCCTATAGTCCCCCCACCTCGGCCTCTCAGATAGCTAAGACTACAGGTGCACATCACCATGCCAGGCTATTTTTTTCTATTTTGTAGAAACAGGGTCTTTCCATGTTGCCAATGTTCGTCTTGAACTCCTGGGCTCAAGTAATCCTTCTGCATTGGCCTCCCAAAGTGTTGGGATTACAGGCATGAGCCACCATGCCTGGCCTAGTACTATTTTTAAGTAAATAGGGTCAAACACTTATTTGGAATGCAATTTTTTTTTTTTTTGAGATGGAGTTTCACTCTTGTTGCCCAGGCTGGAGTGTAGTGCCACGATCTCAGCTTACTGCAAGCTCCACCTTCTGGTTTCAAGTGATTCTCCTGCCTGAGTTTCCCGAGTAGCTGGAATTACAGGTGTCCTTCACCATGCCTGGCTAATTTTTGTGTTTTTAGTAGAGATAGAGTTTCACCATATTGGCCAGGCTGGTCTTGAACTCCAGACCTCATGATCTGCCTGCCTCAGCCTCCCAAAATGCTGGGATTACAGGCATGTGCCACCACGCCTGGCCTTTTTTTTTTTTTTTTTTTTTTTTTAAGGAGCTAAGTTTCTCCTGTATCTTAAACAGACAGCCATCATCGTGTAGTCAATGTTCATCATTGACTCAGTTCTAGGTTACCAATGTTGCTGGAAACAATGGAGATAACATCAAAAATCCTACCTAGCAGAAAACTATACCTTATGGATGGTGCTTTAAATCTTTTAAAATTACGAGGGCAAGTCAAATTAGAAATAAGCCAGGCACAGTGGCTTACACCTGTAATACCAGTGCTTTAAGAGGCCAAGGCCAGAGCATCTCTTGAGGCCATGAATTCAAGATCAGCCTGGGCAACATAGTAAGATTCCATTTCTACAGAAAAGAAAAATAAAAAACAAAATTAGCTGGGAATGGTGGTGTGTACCTGTAGTTTAAGCTACTTGGGAAGCTGAGGTAGCAGAATCCTTTGAGCTAGGGAGCTTGAGGTTACAGCGAGCTATGATCATGCCACTGCACTCCAGCCTGGGTGATGGAGACAGTGCCTCTTGAAAAGATCTTTTAATTACTTGCTATTGCACTTAATATTAAAAACAACATGCATCTTGGACTCTAAAATATATTTCCTGAAGGGTATCATTTTTATTCTTTGCCAGAGGCACCTGTCAAAAACCTCTAAAGAGATTTCACCAACTTGTTTTCACTGGAACCATTCGGAGGAGGCTGGGGAGTGCCACTGTGAACAGTTTAGACAGAGCTCTTAAGGGAAGCCTCATAGTAGTTAGACAGAACATTCCCATCCTAGGCATTTCTGCTGCTCCCTCACTAATCAGCGGCAGCACCCCCCGCTCTCTGGGGTTGGAGTTGGGATTGGGGGTTTACTGGCCAAGCTGCCTCTGCTGCAGTGTTCCTACATTCTTCTCTTCTCCTGGCCACCAAGCAGCCCAAATATGGCTGCAGGCAGAAGCCAAGGAAACCTTCATGCCCAGATGAACCAGAGAGATGCGGGTGGGATGGGCCAAGTGGAATCCATCTCTTCTGCAGTCCCGAAAAGGCACAGGGCTACTGCCATCCCAGATGCCAAAGGGAGAAAATAGAGCCAACCTCAGAGCAAAGCGGTGGCTGCTCTCTGGCTCTGGATCTGAAGCGCGAGAAAGAAGAGACAGATGCCAGATGACACACAGACCTGGCCAGATCTAAGCCAATGAAGCAGGGCCTCAAACTAAGCTGGGAACAAATGGAGAGTCCCGAGAAAAGTGTTTTTGTTTTAGTTTGTGTGTGTGTGTGTGTGTGTGTTTGCTTTCTTTGCTTAATCAAAGTTACAGGTAAATGTGATGATATTAGTACAATCATGAATATCTAACAAACTTTCTTCTGGAAACCTCAGACCCTTTATCAACAGAGATGTCATTAATATAAACTACAGTTGCCAGGGTATCAAGGATAAAACCTGGCTGGGCCAGTATGTAACCTTCTTGCCATCTCATCATTGCACAAAAGGTTAGATGTTCTCCCTACCAACATCACAAGGGCATTGCATAGATGAATATACTCAACTATATCAAAGTACTCTAGGATATTTGGAAAAAGAACCCCAGAAAATAAACTATAGTTTTTATTCACATGTAAATATATCTTGACTAACGTATCTTTTATGATCTATTTCAAAATAATGATAATTATTACATCATTCATGAAAAACAGAACATAATTTTTACTGAACCTCACGAATATATGCCTGACTTGCCCATGGTCACAAAATAATGACTTAGACTAAACAGCCTTTTTCTCATGGGGCCAGCACAAATCATTCTGTAAATATCCCTCCACCTCAGAACCACATAGCCTCAAATACTTACATTAAACCTTCTTGAACGAATGGATTCTAATTAAAAATGAACACCACGAACAGCATTCATCTGTGAATCCATGAACATAAGAGTAAGAAATAGCAGAAGCAACTGTGCTGAAGAATGGAGATAGTAAACAAGGGATGGGGCCAATTTAAAAGGGCCACATACTCTGACACTGAGGAGTGTGTACATGACTGTCCACGTGTATATATGTTCAAGGGAGAGGACAGCATGTTGTCAGGAAGCAGTTCAAGCCCTGCCATGATGATGGCAGGAGATAATGTGTGTGGCAGTTGTTTCTGAGTGATCCCCATGTTTCTTAGCCTCATCCAGCTGCACTGCCTTCTTCTCCTATCCCATTACTCAATATTACTGCTGCCTAGTGTGTGCCACACACTGGGGGATCCCAAAGCTTGAGAACTGAGGCCACTTTCCACAATGTCCTAAACTCTATTTAGCAAAACCTTGAAAACTATTTAGAAAGAATAATATTCCCTGGGAGGAAAAGCTATCCGCTTTGCCCAAATGAGACCAGAAAATTCATAGAATTGTTACTATAGTTTACTATGTTATTACTGAAAAAGACTGTAGGGCTTTATTTTTTTTTTTAGTAGAAGATCTCCTGAAATATAATTACCTGGTTTCGTGTTCCATTACACCTTCCTCATCCTTTAGAAGTATCTTTCACTCATGAGACCCCATGGCTGAGTAATGAATATCCCATAGTTTTACTCAAACTTAAGAGAAGCACGTATTCGTGACATCAATCTTAGCATTTTATCAGAAGAGCTAAATTCCTAGAGTTAAATGGAATAGGAAGGAAAGGGATTAACCTCTGCTGCTGGCATAGTACAGTCACGATGCTAATGTCTCAGTACGAAAAAGCTGAATTGCAGCAATATCTGAAATCACAGAAAGTCCTGTGAGCTTTGGAGGAAAAAAATGTGAAGAAATAAAACGTAAAAAGCCAAAAGTAGGTTGGGATTCTATTTTTCATGCAGACATGCTTAGTAGAAGAAGCCTGTATTGCAAGAGCTCACAAATTAGATGGGAGAGGAATGGGTCAGTGAGTTCTGAGATGAGGAAGTTTTTAGAACCTGTAACTTGTAATTGTGTTATGGGTGAGTTCCAGCTGTTCCCCTAAGCATATTTTAAAATATAACTTCACCATAGTATTTATTCACTTGCAATGCTTCAACTAGTAAACAGCCAGGGAGTCTATTCTCTTTTCATTTAGCAAGAGGGCTTTATAGCTACACAAAATATCCCCCAGCAACGAAAAATGAAACCCACAAATGTAACATTAGCAACCAGCTGTCAGAAAAAAATCAGGAGTAGGATTGCCAGTCTGGTCATTTCATGCCAAGTGTTCATGAGAGGGAGTGTATGTGTGTTTGTGTGTGCTCGTGCACATTGTGTGTAAATGGAGTGTGTTCAGTAGCATGAGAGATGTGAGCGGGTGCATGTCCTAATGATGGCAGAATGCCCGAACATGAAGATGGAGTGGAACCGTCAGTGGTAGAGCAACACAGCATAGACTCTCTATGGCTAATTGTGCAAGCCTCTCTCATGAGCAGGAAGAGTGAGAAAGAAGGATTAAAAAGACAAGATATTTTTATGTTGGAATTACTTCTTGTATTATAGGTATGTTTAACATACGTGAGGGCTCTGGGTGTCAGTTTGTAAGTGAAATGCACACACTATGTATGTATTTTCATTCTTAACCTTCATAAATTCATTTTACAACCTCCCCAAAATATAGAGACCTACAATCCCTTCAAAGTAAACACCCAGCGCTAGCAATTTTGTCCTGCAAGCACGAAACACATTGACCATTATGAACCAGCACAGCTATTAACCCGTGAATTCTCATATTCATTCTCTCTCGCTCGCTTTCTCGCTCGCTGGCTCGCTCTCGCTCTTCCTCTCTCTCCCCTCTCTCCCTCCCTCCCTCTTCTCCTCCCCCCCCACCCCCGTGTCCCCCTCCCCCACCCCACTCACCGTTCCCTTCCCTCCCGCATCCCTCCTCCATCTCGGGCAGAAGAATCTGTTGGGGCTATTTTGCAGAGAGATACAAGTACCAGGTGCCAAGCAGATACCTAGCCTCCTCCTAAACTTAATGCCAATTCCCTCCTGAAAGAGGAGGAATGCAGTGATATCAGCACCGGGGACACGGGGACAGCGAACACCACCGCGGCGCTTGGAGTTTACAGAGGAGCAACCCCAGCTCCGTCGCCACCACCTCGCGCAAAAGCCCCTACCCCACCAAGACACACACACACACACCACGCCGCTCTATCCCGACCCCGTTCACGCGCGCACACGCGCGCACACACACACACACTCACACACAAGCCCTGGCTTTGGATTTCCCCATCAACACCGATGTTGCAGCAAGTCTGTCCGCACACTCCCGCACGCCTCGGGACCCAGCCGGGGCGCAGAGCTGTCAGGGCAGGGAGCGCACCGCAGGACTTGTAAATAAGCCCTGTTCCATCCAGAACCGGAGCGCTTCTTACTCCACCGACCACCCCGGAGCCCGGCGGCAGGGAGGAGGGGGCGCAAGGGGGTCAGGGAATCCTCCCCCTACCTTGCAATGAGAAGAGGGACAGGAAAAAGCCCAGCACCCAGACGCTGTGCAGCCAGTAGGTCCTCATGTCTCCGCTGCGCTCGACGCTCCTCGCGCGCTCCTGCTCTCGCCTCTTCCGCTCGCGCTCTCTCTAGTAAAACGCGCCGCTCCTTTCCCTCGGTTTCCCTCTGGGTTCTCCTGGCTCCGGCAACCCGGACAGACAAGCCTCTTGCCGTACGACGGCCGGATCCCAGAACAGCCTTGCTCTCCTCTTCGGGAGCGCGAGCCAGGGGCCGGGATGGACGCTCGTAGCCCGTGCCTGGTGTAAACACACCGAGCCCCCTCGTCCCTAGAGCTCTCCCGCTTTCCTGCTTGCTATCCTCCTCTCCCTCACTCCCCTGCAGCTTCAACTAAATGCGATGTACTTAAACAAGCAGCGCCTTATAGGACCGCGAACCGAGCCCAAAGGGCCCCGCTACTGCCATCTAGTGCGCACAGAACGGCATCGCCGCGGCCCTTCTTTGCTTGTGTGTCTGCGCCAAGTCTATCCAACGCCGCCAAAATCCCCTCTGCTCTCAGCAAACACAGGTGAAGCTCTTGCCTTCTTAAATCCTTGACTTGACCTTGCTGTCCCGTAGGTCCTGACTTTCTCCTTTTCACGAGGAAACTCTTGGAATATGCCAGCCGCACATCTTCATCACCTCATTGCTCCTCCTCTCCCTCTCAGAAATCCCCGTGCTTTCCTAACAACTCTGTGGAATTTTTTCTCCAAATGTCACCATGACCTCCACCAGAAAGTCCAATGGCCTCTTGAAGGCTCATCCTACTTGATTTCGATGCTGCACTTCACAGCGTGTGCCATTCCTTTTTATTTGATTTCAAAGTCACTGGGTCAAAACAATTCTGGTACTTCTGACCTTCCCTCCAAGAGCCCTCTGGGTTCCTCTGCACTTCTTGGTTTACATCTTCTGTTATATTTTCTTTAAGTGACTTGGAAATAAAAGGTCTGTTACAGCTACTCCAGGATGGAAACCTCCACCACTAACCTCGTACTTAGCCCTCGGCTCGGACTTCCCAGCTGGATACCAAGCATCTCAAACTGGATGACTCAGGGCTAGGACTGAGTTGGGTGAGTAGGCAGATGGGGCCGCTCTAAAGAGCACTGACTAGAAGTTAGGAAAGCTGGATTTCAGTTCTGTCACTATGGCCTCCACTCGTTGGGGACCTTAACTAAGTCATTCAATCTCTGAATTTCATTTTATTCATCCCTGTATTTACATGATAAAGAATATTGGTCGCTTCCAACTGTTTGTAATATCTATGCTAGGTTTCTCCACCTTGGCACTACTGACATATTGTACCAGATAATTCTTTACTGTTTGGGGCTATCCTGTGCTCTATAGGATGTTTAGCAGCATCCCCAGGTTCTATCCACCAGATGACAGTAGCACAACCCTCATTCTCCTAGTTATGACAACCAAAAACATCTCCAGGCATTGCTAAATGCCCCCTGGAGGAAAAAATTGACCCAGCTGAGAACTTCTTATCTATACCCATGTTATTTCCTTCAGGAATTATTCCCCTTTTCCAACTTCCTTGTTTCACAGGCTTCGAGAACATTTAGAAGCATATTTATTTCTCACTTCTCCAGTTTCAGTTGGTCATCAGTCTCACCATGACAATGTATAAATGTGTCTAAGATGTCTCTATGTTTTTTTTTTCACTTTTACTGCCACCTTTTTCATAATATAGTAAACACATACTGTGCATTATACTTTCTGAAATACTTTTAATTATCTCATAATGCTGTGATATGTTCAAGGGTTATGTTAGCTCTTCTAGCACTGGTGGGAAATGCCGACAAGGACAGGTTAAGTGACTTTTCTTATGACATACAATAGGCCAGTGAAAACAACATCAGCAGAGCTGAGGGAGGTCTCCTGAGTCTAGCACCATTCCTGACCCATCTCTCTAGTATGGGTCTTTATTGCCACATCCCTAGATTTCTACGGTAGCATCCTACCTGATCCCTTTCCTCCATTCACTGCTGTAATCTAGGTTATGCATTACCACCAGGTTAATCTTGTTAACAGTTTCTTCAATACTCTCACCTGCTTATGAGTTACAGTTGCTCCTTATGGGCATCTAAATCCATATTAGAATCACCTGAGGACTTTTGCCGATGCATCATCTCACCCCAGACCAATTAGGTCACAATTTTTGGGTTGCAGCCCTGGCATCGGTAGTATTTTAAAGATCTCAGGCCATCCTAATCTGCAACCAGGGCTGAAAAACACTAACCTACCAGACTGAATTCAGATTCTTCATTTTTAAAATACAAGGTCCTCTGAAATTTCTTATCTTACCTTTAACAATTCATTTTTGTTTTCAATCCCCAATGGAGATACTTTCTTCTAGATTTCCCAGTCTCCTTTTTTCCCCATGCACTTCCTTTATCTGCTGCTTGTTTGTCTTACCAAATCTGTTCCATTCTCAGGAGGCAATTTGCAAGTGGCCAGAGCATGGACTTTGCAGCTAGAACTAGGTGTATTCAAGTCCTACTATGCCTTTAACAAAGGGAGAGACCTTGTGTGAGTCTCAAAGGACTTTTGTGAGTATAACTCATGAACTACTTAATAAATAATGTCTAGTGGTATTGTTTTTCAAGGATCAACCTAGATTTCTTCAATGTTAATATTAAGAACTCAGATGCGATAGAATCAGTGTACATGTTAAAATTCCAGATTACTTACTCATACACACAACCTAGTCTATTAATATATTTGTATGTTGGAGTCAGGAATCTGCATTTTACTAGTATATCTAGGTGATTCTTGTGCCCTCTAATGATTGAAAATCATTATATAAGAACCACAAAGTGTTCAGAGTTGTGAGAAATTGTTTGCTCATCTAGCCCAGTTTCTCAGCCTCAGCACCCTTGACATTTTGGGAAAGAGAACTCTGTTGTATGGGGCTGTCCTTTTTATTGCAAGATGTTTAGCAGTATCCTTGACCTCTACCCACTACATGACATTAGCAGACCCCTCTCCTCAAAGTATGACAAACAGAAATATCTCCAGAAATCCTATATGTGGCCTGGGAAACTGATTTCCCCCACCCCAGCCACACCACGGAGTACCACTTGTCTCGTCCAAACCCCATTATAAGATAAGAAAACTGAGTTTCAAGGAAATCGCATGACTTGCTAAATCATGTAGTTTATATTTGGATTTGCCAGAGTCACAAAATGTGTTGCATCAGACTTTGTGATCTCCCTACATTATACTTAGAATGACTTCCAACAATTCTTTAAAATTCTTTCAAAATTGTTCTTGATGCCTAAATTGGACATTTTCCTGCACCATATACTTACTGGCTATAATATCTTTCCATTTGTCTCTGTATTACTTTAAATAATCAATCTCTAATTAATTTCTATGTCTGTGTCATGATTTTCCAAATTGATTTGTAAACACCCTTGCCAATTATCATGTATTCCTCACAGAGCCTAGCAGAGTGCTAGATGGGCAGACATTTCTTGAGTATAGCTAGCAGTTGAATAATTACTTGTTTGTGTGTGGTCAGAGGGAACATATGCATTCATATATCAATTGTCCAAATATCAAAGGTTTCTTAGATATAATATATGCTTAGATATAATATATGCTTAGAGACCCTTTTCATAAATATTCATTTTTTTCAGCGAATGAATGTATCCCATGCTATTCCTGCCCATACCCTTCACTTTAGTTCAGGTACACTGTTTACAACATAGGGAAGTGGTTCTCAAATTGGTTGGGTAAAGAACTTGTAGAAATTGCATAAATAGCAGACATTGAAGCCCTAGCCCCAGAGGCTTTAATTTGCATGTGGATGGGACTACAGGTCAGTCTGATACCTTGCCAGAGTTCAGGAAATCTAAACTTGAAGGGGTGTGTGTGTGTGTGTGTGTGTGTGTGTTTAGTGTGTTTTGTTGGAAATTTCTGAATGCAAAACTTTGCCCACATTATTTGAGGTTCAATTTATTATGTATTCGTGTGGATGACGTCCTTCTTAATATCATGGTGGAAGACACGCCTGTATATATAGACAGGACATATTTGTATAAACAGGTAGAAGTTATGTAACTCTCCATCATCACTATTGTTCTAAAAAGCTAATTTGGTCACAAATTCACATAGTTACATACTTACATAGCGTAAGTGAAATAAATCATAGAAACACTTTCTAGCTTTTTACCTGAGGGCATTTGATTCCCCTCCCTACAGCTGCCTTCCACTCCAACGAAATCTCAAAGTTTATAAAGCCTGTCAACTTCCATTGCTAATTCTCAGTGATGGGATTGTAATTTGCTCTGGGAAGCTTCCCTGTATTACTGTTAAGTCATTTGCATTCCATAGAATGATTTGTGTTCTGACGAGTCCAGGAATTCCTAGAAGTCTCTCTCCTACCCTGCCCCCTCTTTCATTTGGATTCTCCTTTTCTGAGTAGCAGAAGCCAAAAGAAAGAAAGAAAAAATCTTGCATTGCAAGTACAATTAGATCTATGTCTGTAGAAGTGCCTTTTGTCCAGAGACCCCTTAGGATGCTATACTGAGACACTGAGCTGAAAAAGGAAAGATGATTTTTTTAACAGATGGATTGCCTATTTTTGCCTTTCCTACATTAGAGCTGTTTTTTCCCCTTCTCTAAACTAGAGAACTATCATCCTGTAGTGGTATACAACTGTCATTCATTCCTGCCTATATTATACTGTGACTACTTGACTTTAGGCAAGAGAAGGTGATATGCACAATATCTCCCATAATAGACTTTGCAATCTGGCCTGTGGGTTTCTTTTGACTATCCCAATGCCTGCCAGAGCAGTTTTCACAGATCTAGGAAATGGCTACATAATTTATGCGGAATCAGAAAATGAAAAACAAGAATGCAGATTTTTGCAGGTTTCTGAAATAAAACAAGTCCAACTACAGATTGAAAGGCCTAGAGTAATTGTGCTCATCTAATAATAATAATATTTTGTGGTTATACAGCTACTTCACATGCAAAGTCTCATTAATATAGCAATGGAGACAATTTCAGAAGGTAGAAATTTATCTTGTTGCCTTTGAATTATTTTACCCTGGAAGTTTCTAGCTATAAAAGGAAATACTGTAATTTGATGTGTCAAGAAACCAAACAGTAGAGCTTCAAGTGAAAGAACTTCAGTGCTTGAAGGGACTTTAGATGAGGCACTGTGGTGTAGAAGAAAAATCTAGCTGTAACATCAGACAGATATGGGGTTTTCCACTCACCAACTGTGTGGCCCTGGGTAAATAACTTTTCTGAGCTCTAGTGCTTTCCCTAGGGTTAAGAGAATCTACTGACATAAGATATACGAAGTTCCTAACGTACATTAAGCACTCAGCAAAGGTTTGTCTGTAATTACCTCAAACACCATCACCCATCCTCTGCCTTTCCCTAATCTCATTCCCGTACCTGAGTTTTGCAAGAAGGACTAAGGCCTCTGAAACTCAAACAATGTATCCAAAGTCATACAGCTCAACAAAAAATATAGAACTCAGCCTTTCTGATTCCTAACATAGCGCTGTACCTTAGTACACAACTAAAGGTAAGATTTCCCACCAACTCTATTCCATACAATAACACTTTCTCTGCCTTAGATGTTATAATTTTTTAACTATTTACCTAAACCTAAAGAAAAACTTTAGAATTTAAAATGTATAAGGATTGGTTAATT